ATAAATATAAAATAATATGAAATTGTTTTAGTATATAGATAATGTAGCTGTGATGCAATATAACTGGAAAGGAGTGCATCATATATTCTTCTATAATGTGAAATAATAATAATAGTGCTTTCTTTTGGTAATAAATTTTTTAGTTTATTTTATGTAATGTAGCTCTCTATCATAGATTATAGATAAGTTATAGAAATTATAGATAATTTTTACTAAAATTATAAAAAGTTTTGATAAACTGAGAGAAATTCTCTAATCCCTCTGATTTACACTTCTATCGTAATATAAGTTTAGTCAAGATTTAACACTAGGGCAAAATACTTTTTATTTACACGTTAAGACGAGTTCGATGTCATATGATAAAATCGTTGCATTCACGCAATAAAGAAAAGTCCATCGATCACACTAAACGCCGCATCCAGCGGCGATGGAAGCGAACTGAGGGCGCGAACTGAGCAAGGAGAGGGGAGAAGGATGAAAGTGGCGGTCTGAATTTACAGCATTTAATATCGGCAAAATGAAGTACGACCGCGGGAGGAAGGCGAGTAAGGAGCCGCTATTTTGCGGCATCGATAAATTCATTTTATTGCCGCGGCTTGTAGGCGGGTGGTCTAACTTCGGCCACCGCCTGCCGATGCGCTCGCGCGTATCTATCACGGTCTTTCCCAACGTATCACTCTTTTAAACACTCGTTTCAAATCGATTTGCACGATTGCACGACTGGGCGCAAGCACCAGATGTGTCATTTTTTTTAAATGTTGCAGAAAAAAGTATATAAAACCTCTTTAAAATAGTATAAAATATTCAATTTAAACAAACAAATTGCTCTACCATTAATAATTCACAGAAGTTATTTATTATATATATATATATATCATACCAAAATCAAACAACTATTGTTCGAAACATTTTTTTCTAAAACGCGTCGTTTTTTGTATATTTAAGCATATTTTTAAAAATGGAACACTCTGTATATCAAACTCCATATCAAACTTCAAAAAATAAAAATTTTCAATTGTTTAAGATTATACATTTTTTGAGTTTCTCACACAAGTAAAAATTTATATTTAACATATTTCGCATCTTAACTTCTCAATTATTCATTCATCTTTATAGAATCATAACTAAACCATTATCACAGAAATTGTGAGTTGTAATTCATTTATCAAGTATAGATTAAATATCCATCATTATCGCATTTATAGTAAATACGAAGAAGCGTCGAAGACGAGTCGCTAAGATTTCGCAAGAAAACTTTAGAATCTTGTCGAGAGAGTTAATACTGCAATAATCCGGACTGTCGAACGGCAGAGTAACCGGCACTCATCCCTCCGTGGCTCGTTCCTTCTTTTTTAACTAAATCTTAGCACGCATCAAGAGATTCGTCGAGTTTATGAGACTTGGACATTAGGGGGCGAGAAACTCGGTAGGGATTAGCTTTGTCGAGTCATTCTGTCGGCTACAAGTGAATTTCGTGACCGAGAGAAAATACATTTGCAGCAATTAGTCATTCCTGCGCGACTGCTAATGCATATATATATATATAAAGTAGTCTAAAAAAAAAAATACAAAATATAATAATAAGAAATGGAATGAATAAAAATTAATAATAAGCTAATTTATTTTTATTGATTTAATTCAAGTTTTTTTTTATTTTGATTGACTTTCTTTGTGCATACATTTTTCACAAATTAATAATAAAAATTTAGTAAAATTTTAAAAAAGTTAGTTATTAATAATTAATTAAATTACTAATTAAATTATTAATTAAATTTGTTGATTAAATTCATATAAAAGAAACATATTACTGGGGAAAAAATAATTTATAATGTTTAAAATATTTCTTTTATCTCTGATACTCCATAAACCATGTCATTAAATCATTTCGTATTAGGCACCTTGTATATATGTGGAGACAAAGCGACAGAATGGAAGAATTTGTTTTCATAGCAAAAAGAGCGGAAGAATGAATAAAGGAAAAAACCGGTGACATGAAGAATGTATAGTGAGATGAAGAAAAAGATAGCAGACGAGGCCATTGGCGGAAGTTACTTATTAGTTTTTAAACTGCTTGTGCTTCGTGTCGTCATGGAATTAACGAAAGAACTTTTTCCGGTGGCGGCGGATGGAATGACGTGGATGAACATTATCGGTGGAAAAATTAAAGTCGCGAGATCGAGCTTGATATTTTGCCAAAAATTTAGAACGCACATAAAATCATCGTCTATTTCAAAGTTTTATCCTCTCAATATGAAGGAAATTGTACATCATAATTACTGGGTGTATAAAATGCAACATAATTTTTATGATCATTAATATTGAAAAAATTGAGAAAAGTTCATTTTTTATTTTTGCAAATTAATGAATAAATATTAATTTAAATAATTTGGATTTTATAGTAACAGACAATAACATTCAGTAATCGACCAGTTCAGTGATTATTGCAGTAGAGGCTCAGTTCACTCATGAATTTGATCAAATAATTCAGAAATTTTATGAAAAGTTTTTAGAAGGTAAAAGAATATAGTATATATGTATACATATAGAAAAATAAATTTTTGTTATAATTTGTCAATTACACAAAAGAATACAAATAATACACTTCTAAAATATTATATTTTGAAATAATATTTAGACATTTTTTAAACATTTGATTGAAATTTCATGAGTCACTGTATATATACAGTAAAATAAAAATGGTAGTATAAAAAAGACTTACCAGGTTGTAGAATAAACTGCAAGTCTATTACAAATTCACTGTAAGTTCACTACAAAATTACTGCAAGTTCCATGAGGAATGTAATACTGCCATAGAGCTGTAAAAAGTATACAAAAATTAGAAGACTTTGTATGAAACTTGTTCGCTATTGACGACACGTAATACAGTATTTCTTGGGCCGTGCTGATTATGCAAATCTGACCGGCGTGTTTCGGAGGTTATCGAGAAAATTCGGAACAATTTGGGAAAATGGGCTATGCAACAATTAACAAAACAATAGGCTCGGATCGGGAGTGCACTCCTGTACAAGTCGTACTAGCAATTAGAGCAAATCCGAAACAACCCGCGGCTGTTTAACAATAAATTATACAAAATACTCGAGCGCACGGTCTCTACTTGAAAGTTATAAAAATCTGCCTACTACAAATAAATCTTCTGCATTAGAAGAGCTTAATTTTACTTCGCCGTAAAAAAGATCTCTCGCGACGAGTTCTTTACAATATTTCCATACAAACTTCTTGGTACAATTAAATGTATATTAAGAAAATAATTTTAGAAAATAATTTCACTGCAAAACTCAATGAGAGATGCCATAAAACTGTAAAAAATATATAAAAATTTGAAATTGAAAGACTTTTGTTTAAGATAAATATATGTTAAGGAAATAATTTTAGAAGTAAATAAATATAATTCAAAGAGAAATAAACTAATGCTATGTTATTATGTAATAATAATATGGATAAATAAAAATATGTAAAAAAATTATACACTATATCAAATCCAATATGTTGCTTAAATAAATAAATTGAAATCAGGATGCTCTTGGAATCATTTTTTACTTTTTATTCATCTATTTAATTCAGAGATGGAATCAATACATAATATAACATACAAATATATGAAGTAAATTTGTTCATCAACTGATATAGGGTAAAGGTGCTTATTATGAGATAGCTAGCTATTTCATCTAAACGGCTACAAAAGAAGTTCAGCGCTTCATAGGACTTGCGAGTTATTTCCGAAGGTTCATTTCCAGATTCTCAATTGTAGCTAAACCCTTGTACGAATTACTAAAGAAAAACACCGTGTTTAAATTCGGTGCAGAGGAAAATAACGCGTTTGAGATGTTGAAAACTCATTTGTCCAATAAGCTAATATTAGCTATTTATTGCTCTACCGCGACGACAGAATTGCATTGTGATGCAAGCGCAAGCGGGTTCGACGCTATCTTATTGCAAAGACAAGACGGAGAACAGTTTAGACCGGTAGCATATTTTAGTCATCGGACAACGTCCGCAGAATCTAAATACCACAGCTTCGAGCTGGAGTGCTTAGCTGTCGTATACGCGATTAAAAGATTTCACGTGTACTTGTTAAGTATTAAATTTAAAATCATCACAGATTGCGATAGTTTTCGCCTTACTTTCAGCAAACTGTCAATCCGTGAATAGCACGATGGGCAATGTTTCTTCAGCAATACGATTACAAAATTGTACACAGACCGAGCAAACGTATGACACACTTGAGACATTGCCAACAACAAATTTCAAGAATAAAATAACTACTATGCATATGTTGAAAGAAGGCACTGTGACCATTGCGTTAACATTTTTATTCATGCATTACGCTTGCTGAGTTTTTTAGTTTCTCATTAATTTTTTTATTACTGCTTTATCTGTAAACAGCAATAAACATCTTTAAGCATTTGTAAACAGCAATAAAAATCTTTACGCTGATTTTAAACTTCGCAGTTTTATGCGTTATCGAGTCACTTAGGTGTGTTGTGTTAATTCACATGATAGTTTTCGTTCAAGTATTTCATTGTTGCGTGAAATTTTTTATACGTTTTGCATGGTTTATGAACGAGAGAAGTCGATTAATTAACATAAGAAAAACTGAATTGAATTGAATAGAATTATTTTATAAAAATTTTATTACATTTTGCAAACCCAGTAATGCACTTTGCAAAATTGCAAATGTAAAACTTAGTAGTATTATTCGGTTCTTGTTATTATTCTGTATAAAAATATCAAGAAAATTATTAAAATCATTAAACATATGATTCAAATACTGTGAATGTTCTTTTCACAAATAATAGACGTAACACGGATACGAACCAAAAAAACGGTATGATACCGACAGTCTTGAAAAATCGATGCGGCTACGTAGTTTTACGGATGTGATGGTTACGTGTGTCCTCTTAATATTAGAAGGCAATACGTTCGAGCAAACGCTTTCAATAAAACAAGATCAAGATCGAGAGATTTCTAAAATTCGCGATAAATTAGAGAAAAACAAAGATAAATTGTACGAACTACGAGATGGTCTTGTATATCGAAAGATTAACAAACATAATCTGTTATTCTACGTATCGGAATCAATGGAAAACAACGTAATATGCACGTGTTCCAACGACCTCGGTCACGTAGGCGTTAAAAAGGTGATCTCAAATATTAATAAAGTATACTGGTTTCCAAACATGCAAGAAAACATTAAAAAATGTATAAAGAATTGCCTAAAGTGCATAGAGTACTCTCCACCTAGTGGACGATCAGAAGGATATCTACACAGTATCCCAAAAGGAAATTTACCCTTCCAGACGTGTCATATAGACCAGGGCTCGGAATTATTTCATCTTTTCGGCCGATTCTCGTGGTATACGCCTCCTTTCCTCTCTTTACCGCGCGCGCGGCAGCCGCTAGGGTCAGCGCCGCCGAGCGTTAGGAGCGGCGCTATCCGATTAATGTTAAAAAATTTATTAAAAATATTTTTTCCTCAATATCAAT